CAACAAAAAATAGCCAGATGTTGTGGCAGGTGCCTGTAGTCCCAGCTACTCGAGAGGCTGAGGCAAGAGAATTGCCTAAACCCAAGGGCTAGAGGTTGCTGTGAGCTGTGATGTGACAGCACTCTACCAAGGGCAACAAAGTGAGACTCTGTCTCTAAAATAAATAAATAAATATAAATTAAATTAAATTATAAGAATAAATAACAAGGGCCAGATATGCTGGCTAATGCCTGTATAATCCCAGCACTCTTGGGAGGCTAAACCAGGTGGATTGCTTGAGCTCACCAGTTCAAAACCAGCCTGAGCAAAAGTGAGACCCCCATCTCTACTTAAAAAAAAAACAATAGGGGCCTCTTAAACAACAATGACAATAGCAACAACAACAAAAATAGCTGGGTGTTGTGGCGGGCGCCTGTAGTCCCAGCTACCTAGGAGGCTGGGGCAAGAGGATCACTTGAGCCCAAGTTGGAGGTTGCTGTGAGCTATGACCCTATGGCACTCTACCCAGAGTGAAAGCTTGAGACTCGGTCTTAAAAAAAAAATAAGTAAAAGGAAAAATAATAAAAATATTCCTACAAAAACAATTTTAAAAATCGAATTATCAAAATTAACATTATAAAGGCCTCCTATTTGGTAAACTAGCAATAGTACTGCCTATGTAAGAAATGAATCGGCCGAGTAAGGTGCCTCACACCTATAAACTCAGCATTCTGGGAGGCTATGGCAGGATATCTTTTGTACTAACCTGGATGGAGTTGAAACACTTTTCCATCCTTGTAATACTTTACTAAGAAGAATGTGTTTCAAATCCATCCAGGTTAGTACAACTGCCTGAGCTCAGGAACTGGAGAACAAAAGCAAGATCCATTCTCTACTAAAAAACAGAAAAATTGGGCCAGGCATGGTGGCTCATGCCTGTAATCCCACCACTGTGGGAGGCTGAGGCAGGTGGATTGCCTGAGTTCATGGGTTCGAGACCAACCTGAGCAAGAGCAAGACCCTGTCTCTAAAAATAGCCAGGCATTTGGCCAGCACCTATAGTCCTAGCTACTTGGGAGGCTGAGGCAAGAGAATCTCTTGAGCCCAGGAGTTGGAGGTTGCTATGAGCTATGTCGATAAGGCCCTCTACCGAGCGTGACAAAGTGAGACTCTGCTCAAAACAAAAAGAAAACAGAAAAATTAGCCGTGCATTGTAGTGGGGCACCTGTAGTCCCAGCTACTTGAGAGGTTAGGGCAAGGGGATCCCCTGAGCCTAAGAGTTTGAGGTTGTTGTGAGCTAGGATGCCAATGTATTCTACTCAGGGCACAGGGCACAGGGAGAGACTCTATCTCAAAAAAAAAAAAAAAAAAAAGGAAA